ATACACACATATTATTTGTGTGCAAGTTGAGAGTTCTTTCTGGTTTTGTCTGAAAGTTGGTCCAGATCTGGTTCAGAACTTTTGTTTGCTCTGTTAGATGAATGAACTTTACTTACCTACCATGAAGTCACTTGTTCTGCTCAAACCATTTTAAAAAGCTAACGTGAAATATCCTGATGCATGCTCAACATGTGAAAAGATGAAAATTTTTTTTTTTTAATTATTTAAAGTTTCCAGACATCACTTTTTAATCTGAAACTAAAGTTTCAGTAAAAGATAAATAAATGCATTCCTATTTAAAAAGAACAAAAATTAAGTTTAAAGGAAAGTTTAAAATAATAATAATAAATAATAAATATATTTTAAAAATCTGTACTCAGGAGTTTATAAATCAATTAAAGGCCTATATTCACTCCTCTAAATATTATTTTCCTTAGTTTGCATTTTTTCTTTTTTCAGTTCACACATTGGAACCAAAGTACTGTAATACTGTAATACTGTAATACTGTACTGTAATACATCCTGTTGTACGTGAGTGGGTGACAAGAGCGTCCACTTTATTAATATATCAAAACAAACTGAACACAGACCTGTGTTGATCACAGAATACGTAGTGATGCACTAAACTGTTGTAAAGAATGTGAGCTCCAACACATTTACTTCTGTGCCGCCCAACATTCAAATAAAGATAAAGTTCCTGGATGTTCATCTGCCCAAAAGCAGCCAGAGCAGAAACAAAAGACAGGATTTAGACCCGGTTATTAAAGCGTCCTAACGACGATGTTAAATATGTTTCTGTCTGCTCCCATCACAGCTAAATATTTCATGTCATTTTAGGTTTAATTGGTGTTTTTATTGCTGGGAGTCAGTCAATCTTTTACTGGACATCCTCTGGAAGTATTAAAGTCAGCAGGGCCGAGTTCTACCAAGTTTTAGAGCCAGTTCTTACAGTTTCAGAAAAAACAAGCTCAAAGGATGAGCAGCAGCAGAATCGATCCCCTTCTGTCCCCTACTGACAGACTCAGGAAACTGTGAGACAGACGCCAACGTGCAAACTGTTTCAGTTTGGTGGGCACAAAGTGATTGTTAGTATTCACTAAATTTCCTGCTGCTGTACAGGATCATTTCTGAAAAAAATCCATATTTTGAGTTCACACTGAGACACCAAAAACTGAGTAAAAAAAAAAAAACCTGCACCTTTGGAAATATTTTTTATACATAATCTGTGTGTGGACAGAAGAAAACAATTCAAGAAAAATATCTGGAGTTGTGTGAACGGACCAGAACCAAACAAACACCTGCCTCTCTGGTGATGAGCAGGATTCCACATGAAAGGAGATAATGTCCATCTAGCTGAAAAATAATCCTGATAATTTGAGGCTTTCGGATTACCTGCTGATGACGACACGGAGGAGGCAGGTCCAACTGGCAGAGCCGGGCCCAGTGGATCCAGAGACAGGAGATCATTGTTGGTCAGTCTGACAGAATGTGACAGAACAAAACTTCAGCACAACATCTGAAGCTCACTGAAGCTGCAGGAGTCAAGACAAGAACGGTGGTCTGACCCTGAGCAGAGCAGAGTGATCAACAATGTTTGCACTCACTCGTACGGTGTAGGCACTCTGGGCTTGGACAGCTCATCACCTGCAGCGACACGAAACATGTTTACAACGTGAGAACAGTGCGTGTGAAACAACAAGACCAAACAAATAATCAGCACCACCGTTAGGCTTCTTTACGTCTAGATGTAAATACAGTAAATTAAACTGTGACTCGAACAAAACTCACTGAGAGAAGAGCTGTAACAGAACAGGAAGTGATTTCACAACCAATCATTGTGTTAGTTTGTGTTATTGTGTATTTTACATGATCATATGCAGCAAGAAACAACAAAAACTAATCAGCTCTGAGCTATACGTGTTTGCAATTTAAAAAGTGCTAACGGGTCAGCCGGCTGCAGGCCTCCACGAGGAGACGGAGATGGGGGCAGACGATATCTGAGGGAGGGGGTGCGATGACATACTCCGCACACTCTGAACCTCACAAACTAATAAGATTGATATATTAATGATCCTGCTGTGATCCCTGAGCGTGTGCAGAGTATACTGCTATCAGTACTTTTAACTGGTGCAGACACATCTCACCTTGTTCTTGATCTTAATGTATTCAGTACTTAAAAATTTTATATTGAGTTTTAAACATTTTTCATCCCAAAATCTCAAAACGGACTTATTAATGTGTAAAAAACAAACAAACTAAAGGTCAGCTAATACAAATCTGTAATCGTTTTTAATTTGAGTTCAACAGAATAATTTATAAAATAAACTAGAGTGATGAAACTCGCCTTGACAAAAAGGATGGAACCAGTATCTTAGTATTTTGTTGCACAAGCAGTCAGTGATGTCACTTAATGAGACCTGCACCTGTCCACAGGTATTCTGCTCCCCTCCTCATGAATCACCTGCTCCAGCTGTCTCTGACGGCTGCCTTCTACAGACCACAAGTTTCACACTTGTGTCATTTTTCACATTAAAGTTTTTGTAAATTCACTGCATTTGGACATTAGTGCAGTTTTATAATCTGTATGCTTATGTTAAATTATTGGATGTGGGAGGGTTTTTTTTCTCCTGCCAATTTTACAATTTTTATTAGCTTTGCAATGCATCTTGGGAAGACAATTAATTATGTACTGGTGCAAGATTTCCTTAAATGCTGCTGTTTAAAAGAGTTTTCTGTCTTCAAGAAGATAATGCAACATTTTATTCCAATTAAGAACTTTTTCAAACTGAAATGTTTCAAGATGTCAAACTGTTGAGAGTTGTTGTGCAAGCTGAACACACATGCAACCCCCCCCCCCCCCCCCCCCCGGTGCAGATTTTAATTTTACAGTTTTGAGTTTGAATTGAGAAAGATCCACAAATTATTATTATTTTTTCTTCTTCAAAAATCAAGAAGTCTGGTCGTTTTTTCCTGTTCAAACTGGAACCACCGTGCTCTGAAAACCTCCAACACCATGGCTTTACTTCAACGTTTGTGTTAAAGGTTTGTAATAAACAAACAAACAAATATATAAATAAATAATCAGGGCCTTTTAAATGCAAATCAGATGTTTTTCATGTAAGACTTTAAACGTGATGCTTGTCTGCTGATGTCGTTGACAACGTTACAGATAATAGACAGGACCTCTTACAGCAGCTTTCAAAATAAAATACATTTTCAAATAGTTACCCTAGTGGTACAAGCACAAAAACACTGGACATCAAGTTAATGCAAAGAATGTTTAGCAACTTTTAGAAATGTAGATTTTTAATGGGTTCTTACTTTTAGAAAACGTAATGGGTAATATTTTTCAAACTTATTAGGAACTGGAAATTGATCAAATCCAAATCAATACTTGACTGCTGTGTAGAAAATTCTAAAAAATCGACTTGGCATAATAAAGCTAATTAAACATTTAATCAAACTTCACTCACATTTAACATAAATGGAAAAGAACAGTCTTTTTGCAGGGATTATATTCATTTTAGACGGATTTCTACATTTTTACCTTAAAAATAAATAAATAAACAGCAACTTAGGCCTAAAAAAATGTGTTTCACCTCCCAAACCTAGTAGCACAAAAAATACTCACTGGACTGGTTCCTTCGCATCTGTCCCTGGAGACAAAGACAACAAAATAAAAAATACAGACATTAGGAAATGATCTATATAAAACTGACAAGTTCTTTGTCAAAGTTTGACTTACTTTGTTAAAAACATGATTATTCTTCACACACAACAGGTCCAAAGTTTTATTACAACGTGGAATGATGCACAGTTTTATGAGTCAGTTACCATTTGGAAGCTAAAACTTTCAAAAATAATTCAAATTACGCTCAAATGACTTTCAAAGTCAAATATTCAGTAAAAGCCATGTCAAATGCAACGTGCAGAAAATTATCCCCAAGACAAGTCCAGACTCACGCATACCGCACTTCAAACTTAGGGTGAAAACTTCAGCAGCACCCAACGGTTTATCTAAGGCTGTACAACGATCAGTGTGGGACAACAGAGAGCACGACCCCCCCAACGCACCAACACTTCACCGACTTCCTTCACAGATTCATCACATAACTCTGCCAAGTCCTGCTGCCAAACACAAGACGCGGCTGACACGCTCCTGAGGACGAGCAAACGAAACTAAGAGCATCAGTTTCAATAAAAAACATTTCTTGCAAGAAGTACGGGTTGTCGGGGGGGGGGGTGGGGGGGGGTTGGGGGGGGGCAGAATGAGTTTGAGGAACACGGCAAAACGTTTAACCACCATAGAGCTGCAAGGCTGGGCTTTAGTCCCACAGGCGCTAAACAGCAAATGGGTTCAATTACGGCTCTTGCTGGCCACACACACACACACACACACACACGAACACACACACACACACACACTTCTATTGCTAGTTCAATAAAGGGAACACCATGGAAGGAGAACCAAACAGGAGAAGAAATGAAAAAGACAGAAAAATGAGCAGTGAGGGGAAAAAGGCGAACAGCGCTCCATAATTCCCTCCAGATGAAGCTCCGGTGCTCACCACCTCGGAGGAAAAGTTCCAACTCTAATTTAAAACTTCTCTGTGAATCTGAGTGAGAAAAAGGAGCAGAAAAATAAATGTTCCCAGACAAAGAAAAGGGCTAATCTGCTGGCTTCCAATTACAAACCAACAGCTGTCCGTTGTGTCCTTTTAGGAGGAGAAATTAATCCTGACTTTGAGTTTAAAAGAAAAACAAACTAAGCTATAAAAAAAGAAGAAAGAAAACAACAAAAAAAGGAAACTAATCAAAAGCTTTATATTTATACCTTAATCTTTTTACAATGACTCGCCCATCAAAAACCCATTTAATTGTAAACCGATCTCAATATTTTTTGTTTCAATACACAAAACATTACAATAAAACAGAGGATAATGGATAATTTCACATATAAGCAATTACAAAATAAACGGTTTTATATTATTTTTTGTGTTTAAAAGATCTATTTGTTTTTTAGGATAAGATATTAATCCAAAGTTCAAGTCTAAAAGAACAAAACCTGCAATGAAGAAATAATGGCGATAACATTGTGTCAATCTTTTCACACTAAAGCCTGTTAATTAAATTAATTAAAAAATAAACTTCTCTTGACTATTATTTTGAAGAATATTTGTAAAATATAACTTCATAAATGACAAAAAGCAAATTCTGGTCTGAAACAGGTGGGTTCCAATAAAAACCAAAAGTGACACCATGCAGAGACAAAGGGTGAGAAAGTAGAAGCCATAAATGTGATGAGGACCTCCAGAGCACGAGGAGGAACGGACATTTGTTTACAGATCAGCTGACGAGGAAAACTGAGAGCTTCAAGAGAGTCCTCTCAGCCTTTTACAACAACATCCAACAAAGAACACACCCATACACACACACAAAGCTTTTACATTTTACCAACTGCAGCAAGGTCTAAGAACAGAGGAAATAAATTCAGATACTCAGCGATTTTTTATTTTTTTATTTTTTTTTTTTGGGG